TCCTTCTCCACTGGGCTTTAAACTAAGCCTGCCTGGGGGCGAGGGAACTACTGCCACTGCTGGCCCACTGAGCAACCCTTGCAAAGTCAGCAGACCAAGGCATTTAAGGGAATCCACCCCTGCCCCAGCCCTGGAACAAACTGTGGGCAAGGCAAGGGCCCCCAAGGGGACACGTGTGCCTATACACAAATGTGAGGAGCTTGGGGAATAAACAGGAGGAACTTGTCCTCCTCCTAAATGCAAATAACTATGATGTCATAGGGAGACCAGAGACCTGGTGGGACTCCACCCATGACTGGGCCACAGGCATAGACAGCTATACCCTGCACAGGAGGGATCAAGTGGACAAAAGGAGTGAGGGTGTAGCTCTCTACGTCAAGGAGAGCTATGGATCCCTGCAATCTGGCATTGGCACCCACGGTGGACTACTTGAGACCCTCTGGGTTAAAAGCTGTGGGGAACACGGCACAGGGGATCCTATGGTGGGAGTCTACTACAAACCCCCTACCCAGGGTCAAGACCTTGGCCAGGAGTTTGCCAGGGAATTGGCTGAGGCCATGCACTCCCGGTGTATGGTTGTCATGGGAGACTTTAACTACCCAGACATCTCGTGGGAGGAGCGCTCCACCAAATCTGAGCTGTCGCAAAGCTTTCTCTCGTGTGTGGATGACCTCTATCTGATGCAGGAAGTCTATGGGCCGATGAGAGGTAAAGCACTGCTTGACCTTGTACTGGCAACTGGGGACGACCTAATCAGTGACCTAATGATCAAAGGGAAGCTGGGTGACAGTGACCACGAGCTGATCACCTTCACCATCTGCCATAAAGCTGGCAAGTCAGTCAGTAATACAGAAGTCCTTGACTTCAGGAAAGCTGACTTTGACAAGCTAAGGAGGCTTGTCAGTGAGGCCCTAAAGAGCCACAACCCAAAGGGGAGGGGAGTTCAGGATGAGTGGTTGCTCCTCAAGGAAGCAATCCTGGATGCGCAAGCAAAGTATATCCCATCTCGGAGGAAAGGCAGCAAAAGGGCACAGCAGCCCCCTTGGCTCTCTAGGGAACTGGCAGATGTCCTGCATCTTAAAGGGAAGACCTACAAAGGATGGAGGACTGGAACCACCACCAAGGACGAGTACTCTGCTCTGGTCCAGACCTTCAGAGGGCAAACCAGGAAAACCAAAGCTGCGATGGAACTCCAGCTAGCTACAAATATCAAGGACAATAAAAAGTCATTTTTAGGTATGTGGGGAGCTGGAGGAAAAGCAAGAGCAACATTGGACCCCTGCTAAATCAGATGGGACAACTGACAACCGATGCCCATGAAAAAGCAAACTTGCTAAATGGGTACTTTGTGTCAGTTTTTCACCAGTCCCATGGGATGCCCCTGCCCATAGTGGGTCAGGGAGGCCTGGGTGAGGGAGATTCCTTGCCCTCCATCGAAGCTGACCTCATGAAGGAACACCTTGACAGGCTGGATACCTTCAAGTCAGCCAGCCCTGATGGTTTATACCCAAGGGTACTCAAGGAGCTGGTAAGCATAAGAGCTCAGACCCTGGCATGGATCTTCGAGAACTCTTGGTGCTCTGGGGAAGTGCCTGAAGATTGGAAGAAGGCCAATGTTGTGCCTATCTTCAAGAAATGGAGGAAAGTGGATCCGGCAAACTACAGGCCCATCAGCCTGACCTCTATCCTAGGGAAGGTCTTGGAAAAGATTATCAAAGAGGCCATTCTTAACAGACTAGCTGACAGTAATATCCTGAGGGATACCCAGCATGGGTTTGTTGTGGGTAGGTCTTGCTTGACCAATCTTATTTCCTTTTATGACCAGGTGACCTATCATGTGGACAAGGGGGAAGAGATTGATTTTGTGTATCTTGACTTTAAAAAAGCCTTCGATCTGGTATTGCATTATCACCTTTTGGCAAAACTGGCTAACTGCAGCCTCGACATCACCACAATACACTGGCCGGGGAATTGGCTCCAGGGTTGACAGAAGTCAATTGTCATGGTGCCCTGTGACCAGTGGGGTTCCTCAAGGCTCTGTCTTTGGACCTATATTGTTCAACATCTTTATTAATGATGTGGACACTGGAGTCAGTAGCAGACTGGCCAAGTTCGCCGATGATACCAAACTTTGGGGTAAAGCATCCACACCTGAGGACAGGGGGGCAATCCAGACTGACCTTGACAGGCTCAGGAAATAGGCGGATGAGAACCTGATGGTGTTTAACACCAAAAAATGCAAGGTTCTCAACCTTGGGAGAAAAAACCTGCAGCATGCTTATAGGCTCAGCAGTGCTATGCTGACTAGCACTATGGATGAAAGGGACTTGGGGGTCAGGATTGACCACAAGATGAACATGAGCCTTCAATGTGATGCTGCATCTAGTAAAGCGAGCAAAATGCTCACCTGCATCCACAGATATTTCTGAAGCAAATCCCGGGACGTCATTCTCCCATTGTACTCGGCCTTGGTGAGGCCGCAGCTGGAATATTGCGTCCAGTTTTGGGCTCCACAATTCAAAAAGTATGTGGAGAAACTTGAGAGAGTGCAGAGGAGAGCCACACACATGATCAGAGGTCAGGAAAACAGACCTTACGATGAGAGGCTGAGAGCCATGGGACTCTTCGGCGTGGAAAAGTGCAAGCTCAGGGACAATCTGATGGCCACCTATAAGTTTATAAGGGGTGTTCACCAGGATCTGGGGGAATGTTTGTTCACCAGAGCGCCCCAAGGGATGACAAGGTCGAACAGTTATAAACTCCTCCAAGACCATTTCAGGCTGGACATAAGGAAGAACTTCTTTACTGTCCGAGCCCCCAAAGTCTGGAATTGCCTGCCATCAGAGGTGGTTCAAGCACCTACTTTGAACACCTTCAAGAGAAAGTAGGATGTTTATCTTGCTTGAATCCTATGACCCCAGCTGACTTCCTGCCCCTGGGGCAGGGGACTGGACTCAGTGATCCTCCGGGGTCCCTTCCAGCCTGAATGTCTATGAAATGCATCGGTAGTTTCCTTGCCTTTACTGGCTCAGCTTTTTTTCTTTGGCTTTCTTAATTACACACATATGATGAGCATGTGAGGTCTCTGACAGTATTTTTAAACATCACTTTTTTTTTTAGGCTTAGGTGTGGTAGAAGGTTGAAGCCTATTATGATGACTCTTATTATCTTATGGCATGGGTCTGGCATCAGGTAGTGCAAACACTCCACTGTCTCAATGCCTAATGTGTTGCAAGGCATTAGAAGAGTTTGATATTCTTGTGGCAGTCTTGTTACCACAACTCAGTTTTGCCCCAGCCATTGTCTTGCATTTTTGTGCAAGAGACACTGCCCAAGCTTTCACAGTTTTCATATGTGGGAAGCACCCCTTCCAGCTGGGGCTGCTTCAACCTGGCTCAACATGTTGCAGTCCTGGATGCACATGTAAATGGGCACCTAGGAGCAATAAACCTTGTGAGAGATGCATTGGAGTGTATTGCTTCAAATTAATTGCATGGGTATACTAGGAATCTGGACTCTTCACTACATTGCCACGTATGTTGGCATGCTGATTTAGTAGGCTGCTTCTGTATGTGACACTCATTTTCCTTTGGTTAAAGACAAATAGCGTCCTATGTCCTTCTTCCATCCTTTTAATTTTCCACACCTTATTTATCTTTCCAGAGAAAATCAGAACAGAGGTTCTCACTAGATCATGTGAAGAGGAAAATTGATTCCCTGAAGGGCAAGAATATAGATCTTAATGGGACAGTTTGCTTTAGAGATTTTTGAATGTTTTATTCTTATGACCTCTAATCTTGGGCTGCCAGTTGTGTTCAGAGAGGAAGAGATGATCTTCAGGAAGTGATTGTGTAAATCTAGGATAAAAAATGTGTCTCCTCTATTTATGAGGATTATCATGAAACATTAACTGCTTCACTCTCTACATCTGAGCAAAGATCCTCTAGGGTTCCCAAACTATTATAAAACATGGCAATCCCTGATTATGATTAGTCCAATACTGTAGTTATCTCATTGGGTAAATGTTATGTTCTTTTCATGGAATATTATGCATCCCAGGAATGTTGGTGTGGCAGAAAGCTGGAGCCCAAATTCAGAGTATATTATTAACTTATTACCAAAATGGGTAAGTTTAAGCTTGATTAAGGGCTATGACATTTAAACCAGTATATACACTCTCCTTCCCTCTTCCCTACCCCTCCTCCCACCCCCACTGTATCTAAAATATTGAACCTTTATTTATAAATCTAACCTTTTTGGATATCTGTAAAGCCAGTTATTGTGAGAGCATGAGTTGATCTGCTTTAGTTGTTTCAAGTAAACACCTACCAATTGCCTCCATGAAATAACTCATGATACTCAACATGGCACTTCGGAATTTTGCCACTGACATAGTGAAAACAGAACCAGACTATTGCTTAATAAGGGGCAGGATATTTTTTTAATTGATTTAAATAGAATGTATTTTTAGAACATTCTGGAGCACTGTGCATCTCCACAGTACCGCATAAGTAGTTAAATATATATTTGTGATACCTTTTCATGTAGAGTTGTCAGTGACATTATATTAAATAATGTCATCACTAGAATAAACACATGCTTTGTTTTCATGTCAATAGAAAGATCTGCATCAGCGGGAGAGTGATGGGTGGCATAGAATCAAAAAGGAGGAAAAGTATATTTGTAATAAGTTTGTTGAATATACTTAGGCTGATACTTGGATGTTGACCGTATATTAATTATTGTTGGTTTAAAAAAAAAGATATCTGGGCCATCCAAAAACTACTGAAATTACTGTCGTATTTTCCTTCCTGATGCATTTAATTTCAGGATCAAATAATATAAATAAAATAGACGTTTTTCTACACACTGAACTATATTGTACTGATTGTAATGAAATATCACACAAGTTTTCTGAGGGTTTATTCCTCATCCATCAAAAAGATGGTGCCTGAAGAGGAAATGATTTTCTGCAGAAGAAACATTTTCATTTTTTTCAGGCGGAAAGTCTACAAACTGGGAAGGAGGTATCCGTGTGCCTGGTCTTCTCCACTGGCCTGGGGTGATACCGCATGGTGCCCATATTCACGAGCCAACAAGTAACATGGATATATTCCCAACAGTCGTTAACCTTGCAGGGGCACACATGCCTACAGACAGGTAGTGCATATTGTCTCTCTTGTTCATGGACACTTTTATAGTTATTTTCTGCTTTTTGGCACCTTTATTTTAATTTGGTCGGGATATATGTGGGGAAAGACTGAATTTCATGTCATGACTTTGCCTCTGTTTACAATAGTAAAATATTTCTTTTTCATAATATCATTATGAAGTGTTTATGGAAACATATGTGAAGACAATGAAACCTTAAGAAATGTCTTTTTTGAACGAGTTCATATTAGTTGGATTTAAAATGGAAACGGGGGGTTTCCTTTTCATATCTAAGAGGTAGTTTCTTAGCTGTCTTCCTGGCATTTTGGGGGGGCTAAACTATGAAAGGGGCTGCTTCCTCTACCTGAGTCTGATACCTACTAGTCATGGGTTTCTAACCTCCAAAATGTTAATGCTTTAGAGATCAGTGCATGTTACCACAATGCCTAGCCAGGTTATAGCCTATTGTTTATGCCCAGTCTATGCATGCAGTCTATGTTATGCCCAGTCTCATGCATGCTTGTGTGTCTACCCTGCCAAGGAAATAGCTGTGTGTAAGTGGCATTTTTGGCCTTGCCTAATAACCTGCCATTTAGACAAGCAAAGGGACATATGATTCCACCCTTAACTACTTTGCACTTTATCTCTCCTTTTTGCCAGTTATAGTTTCATCCCCCCCACAACCCTCCATCACCTAAGTCAACAAGAGTTTTGTCCCTCTGTATCTGTCTCCCAATCTGTTAAATGAAAATAGTGGGTGCAGACTTTCATTCAAAAGAGTTTTGAAAATGATGGTAAATAAAAACTAAGGTTTATTAATCAACTCAGATCTGAGCTTAAGTTCTAAACCATTCTCCTATTATCTGCTTCTAACCCTCACTGCTTTCTCTTTCTCAGAAAAAAAAGATATTTTGATAAATCATAGAAAATAATGAGTAATTCAGTAAGAAAAAAATCTACCTCTTCTAGTCTCATAGAACAAGACCAAGGGGACATTCAACGGGTAAAAAAAAAAAACAGATAAAAGGAAATAGTACTTTGTGCAGAGTATTCTAAATATGTGAAAGTTACTACTAAGAAAAACATTTTGATCTAAATTATATAGGAGTAAAACATTGACTTTCATGGTGTTATTCTAGATTTTGCAGTGGCATAACTGAGACAAAATTTAGTCCTGAGGGAAATCATTTAGACAAGCAATTTAGTGGGTTTTAAGTAGAACAGCCTGAAAATTTTTCAGAAGAACATTTTCCTGTCAGAGAATACAGTTTTGTGGACATTGAAATGTTTCATGGGAGCATCTCTAGCTGATCACCGCTCCCAGTGTTGCTATTATGTGGTAAAGTGACATCATATTATTTTATATACTACAGCATGGCCTATAGAAGACCATAAGAACAAGGGAATAAATACATCAAAAAGGACTCTATATCCCCAAGCAGATCCATAGCCAAGAAACAAATATGCTTATGGATATATTTGTATACAGACGTACAGAACTCTTGAGTTGTAGAGGGGGACAACCTTGTGCTCGCAATTAACCTCCCCAGCAGAGAGTGCCAGGAACGGTGATGCAATGATTAGCGGTTTGATGTTTTTCACAGAATCTTCCAAGGGATGTCATCCATTGGTGGACGTGTCCTTCGTTTCTCCTTGGCAGGAGGAATAGTTGGAAGTGTTAGGCTTTTGTCCTTGAGCAGTGAGCAGCTTGAATAGTTCTGGTTCTATATATGTCAGTCCTACTTCACCTGTTGTCAAGAAGACTTGGAACCCAATAAACCACCCAGTTAGTCTCTCTCTCCACCTCTGCTCCTACTCAATGGGTGCATCTACACAAGACACTATTTAGTAAAGCATTACCATGTACATATGTGCATCAATTACTACACACTGTATTTGTTTAATGCTAATGCTAGTAGATACAGGTACTAGAAAAACAGCACATTAACTAATGTGCCATACCACACATGTAGATGCTGGCCAGGAGCAAATTGCTCCCAATCAACCTAGGCAGCAGGGAGCAACAGAGGTCAGTGAGAGCTGTCCTGGTTCATCAGGACACTGCAAGCCACCCATGTGGAGATTGGGATGGGTCCTGATCTTCATGGGGCAGGGAGACAACACCCAAAATCTGGGACAGCTCCTCCCATCTCACTCAGGGCCAGCCCAATCTCCTCCCCTGCCTGTAATGGAGCTGCCTGCTGAGCTGGGACTGCTCCCCTCCTTTCCCTTCTTCCCCCTTGCCCTCCAGAGCTTGGGGATAAGTCCCTATACCCCCTGCCTGCCTGGGGCTGACATGTGGGGAAGCCTGGAGCTCCCCCTGGCTGCTGCAGGGAGGCAGAACAGGGCAGAAGCAGCCCTAGACTCAGCCTGTCCTGTTGAGATCAGTTTGTTCCCAATGGGGGTGCCATGTAGATGTGCACTGGGAAGTGCTTTTAATGAGCCTGAATTTTCTATGTAGAAAATTCAGGCTCATTCATTGCATGTGTAGATGTCCCGGTGCCAGGGATTTAAACTTTTGGAGGCCTTAGGACAGGTTTCAGTTTCAGGACCCTGACCTTTACTAGACAGCCATACTGTTTGTCTCCCACTTCAGGGTGACTATGATAAATATAGAAGGGAATTGGAGAATTGACTGTAACAAGGCAAAATCATGTCTCATTCTGAAGTCAAAGTTCATTCTCTTCCAAGTGAGTTCCTTTATTTTTTCTTCCACCTGTTAAAATTGCAATTTCCTTTTTGCCCACATCCTCTCTATCCTTAGGCCATCCTTATGATTCAGTCATACTTACCTAAATATCTCAGGAATTGTACCTATATAAATACTGTCCCTCCAAACATTGTGAGTTAAAAAATCCTGAACAAAGATATCATTTGAAGTCTCTACCTTTTAGAACAGATAAATTTTCCTTTGATACCTTTGACAACCTAGGTTTTGCTGAACATAGCTCTTGAGTCATTTCTGCATTTGATAATTAAATTTTTTATTTTTAGCTTAATTTTTTTCTAAAGAGAAAAAGAGAAAAAAAAGAAAAAATCATTAAAATATTTTTCTATTTGCATAAAATAGCCTTGGGATCATTAGCTGGCTAAGTAAGGTGTTGTTAAAGATATGTGAATAAAAAGTAAAATGCCTTAGAGTAAAACAGATCTACCAGATCCTGTAACATCCCTGGGATTTAAAGTCCTCTAATGTTTTCCTTGGTTAAAGCATAAAAGGGCTAATACATTATCACTTCTAGGGTACTTTAACTATTTCTAATTCAAAGCTTTGAAATCTTTTGATGCCCTAAATGTTCTAAACTGTGGGCACATCTACACGAGGCCATATGGCGGCATTGTTACTGTGCCATCATTTAGTACTTCCTTTTGGAAGTACAAAATTATGGCTCAGTAATAGTCTGTAAGGCTCTGTGCTGGCCACATACGCAGTTATTTTTAGTTGTTACATCGTCATAGCAGTGCGCTGTAATGAGTTGCTATGGCAACAGAGCTGCAGCATCACCGTTTTTGCCCATCAACCCTACATTGCCATAGCATGTTTCTACAGCAACATAGTGTCACATGTAGACATGCAATGTATGTTCTATTGTCACTTCTCTTGGTTAGGAGAGGAGGATTTGATTGTATCATGGCCCTGTCACTATTCTGAACCTGTCTTTTAATTTATTATTAATGAGAATGCATAGTTCCAAAGCTGTTTTGTCCATTCCTAAATTTAGTTATCACCTGTAAGAAGGATCACCACTAAAGCTCTAGAGAAATACCAGCCTGGCAGCAAGTGTTCATTTGGGGCATGTTAAATCAAAAGTGAATCTGCTTAGATAAAATCAATATAGGGGCATGTTAAATCAAAAGTGAATCTGCTTATAGAAAATCAATATCCCTCTTCTTCTGTACCCACTCCCAGAGGCCCTAAACCCCCTGGGACTTCCATGGGGAGTCCCTCATGTTGGACAATATTGGTTCCACATTTGAATTGCACTGGCCTGTGGGGTCAGGACAGCATATGGAGTCACTCTGTGGTCAGATCTAGCAGACAGGGCTGAGCCAGCACACCAGATTCTAGAGTATGAGTTCTCAGACAGCTTTTTGGTTGAAGTTGCATCATGCATTTAATAGTCATAATTTTATAAATGGCATTAGGATAGGTTCTATCCCAGGGCAAGACAGGGACCCACTGTAGAACCACTATAGAGTTTTTCCCCTTCCTGTGCAACATCCATCTTATGGAGCCATCCTCCTCCCAGCTTGCCATCTTCTTTCCAGCCCTAGTTATATTTCCCTCCTGGTTAACCAGTGAGCCACCTTCAAGAAGAAGGCTGAAGAATGGGCTGCATAATGCCTTATCCATAGCCTGAAGGTTAGGACATTTTGTTGAGAAGTTGAACTCTCAGGTTTAAACCACCTCCAGGCATGACCACCACATGCCCTTGGAGCCTGGGGGGGGGCGGGGGGCACAATGAGGTCTCACAGGTGGTGGCAGTGCTGTTGGCGGCGGGAGCATGGTGGTGGCAAGCGGTGAGCTCCTACAGGCAGCCGCAGTGCTGTCAGCGGCAGGGGCAGGGTGGTGAGTGCTGACCAGCAGCTGGAGACCACCCACAGATGCCATCGGCGATTGGGGACCACCTGCAGATGCCACCGGGAGAGTCCG